GGGGGGGGCAGGGGGGCAAAATCCAAAATCGGGATCCGAACCATGATTTGCATGAACGCGTCTCGATCTCTCTGTACAATTCCAACAAATGTTGGTCACATATACTGAATTCACCAATTTTGTATTTGAACGGAACTTTAACAGCAACTCTCTTTCTAACCTCTAAGATTGACAGCTCTGTTATGGTCAGCGGATTAAATTCAATGCATGTGTTTACCTTTTTCAGTCCAGTGTCACACGTGACATATTTCATTTACATCCCTAGTACCACATTTAGAGGAACGTATTACTGAACACGTTTACATCCATCAGGTTATTTACTTGGTCACCTTGGAGTTTGATTTTAACATTATTTTCTTCCTATTATCAAAACTTTCTTTTGACGCTGATTACCAAAAACGACTAGACTTCCTGTTTATCTATCGACAGAAGGATTTAACGACTTGAAGGTAACTGATACCGAATAAGATTTACTAATAACCGTTACGCATGATTACTATAGATATGCAAGCTTAGACTACTGTATAGCGTTATGACTACTATACTACTGTACACCATATTCTATCACTTGAATAGTGCTTTGAAATACTTCCCGCAGTGTCCCCCCCCCCCCCACTTTACCTAAGTTGTGCTACCTGTACATCTTCTTCTTCCAATTAAAGTGCAGGCCCTTAAATGTATTCTCGCACTAGTTCATGTCACTGTTAAGTGTTCATGCCATTTTCGATGACAAACAACCCAGTCCCGCTACATGTCTCTTTCATTTTTCAAAGTCTTCGCCCCTGAAGATAACAATATTTACAACTCAATTTTGGGTACCCCCTTACCAAGTATTCACCTAGTGCTTAACACAAGGGTTGACAAGCTTGCCAATTTTGTTATAGGAGCTAAAAAATGCACAGCCAGACCAGGGTTAACCGTTTGAACCCAGGACCCTCCAACTGAGACAGACGCTCTACCAGTACCACTTGAGCTAATTGTAGTTCAACTACACAATTAAAGGTTAATTAAAGTCTGTATAAGTCATAGCAGGAGAGAAAACATACACGACCAGACATGGATTTGAACCTGAACTAATGAACTCCAGATGAATGTTCTGATCAATTGAGCCATATTGTTGCAAGCAAATGACCCATTTCAGTCCTGCTTTATTAATCCTCCCTTCTTTCCCAAGTTTTTGCCCCAAAAGAAAATAGTATTTACAACCCAGGTTGTAGTATTCCCTTGCGTAGCATATATACACCCATGCATGGCCAGTGCTTGAAACAAGGCATCACTGTAACAGGAGAGAAAAATGCATGGCAAGACTTGGATTCAAACCCAGAATCCTCTAAACTTAGGACAGATGTTCTAACCAATTGAGCTACCTTAACACTGGCAAACAACCCAATCCAGTTCTGCTATTATTAGTGCACAAGTACACATTGAAAGACTATACCAGGGTTTTGATCATGAGCTTTCTGGTTCAGCCACTTCAATTGGTTAAAGCTATAGGGATCTGAAAGAAAAATGGACACAGATAATTTGGCTATAGATCAAGAGGTGTCCAGACATGTCTGGGCAATAATAATAAAAGGCCAACTATCACTAGATAGTATTTATACATGTATCAAACAAGATCATTTAAAATGTATTTTAGGAAATGTGAAATTTAAATACATATGTGAAAGAAATCACATAGAATTCTTGGCTTATTACTGTTTGACAAAAATCTTCAAAATTGATCTAGCTAGTAGCTACACAACATTGGCCCAGCTCCAACCTAGTTCATTTCAGCTGGATGTACAAAAGCAGCCCTAAAGATTGAGATCATCCCAGACAGATAATCTACCTTGTTATATGGTTGTTGGCTACTAGGATATATATATATATGTAGTAGGACGAGGAATAGTGATAGAGCCTGATGCTCTACGGCTGAGCTAAAGAGAAATTCCCTACAGCTGATGCTTGTAAGGCAACCTAATCAATGCACATCTTTTATATGTAAGCATGTGACAACCATTCTTGTTGTGAAAAGTAAAGATTTGAAGTTTTACCACTATACGTGACTTATTACATGTTCAACAAGAAAGACCCGACACATTATTTCAACCTGATGGCATTTATCCTAGGTGTTCCTTGCATTGTCGAAAGATTATGTACATCCTGTACATTGTTGTCACTACTGGTGTTGATGTAGGGGAGACAACTCATACACACGACAGAGTTGTCCCCTTTACAATACTCTAGACAATCAAATTGTTTATATTACTTTGTTCAATGTTGTAAAACCAAATTTCAGTGTTGTGTGTAAAATATCCGTTAAACATATGTTATAATTTATCCATATATGTGTAATGTATCTGGTTATTTTTATTCACATAGAGCTTATATTAGTGCCTGCATGTATATTTATGACCAAACTGCAAAGGGATACAATTTCTTTTACAATCACCCCTGTTAACACTCCTAAATAGCCAGTGTTGTGAATACAAGTATTGATAAGGGCAAAACAGATATATTGAAGCCACATGTACATTATTATTGCATATGGAATTGCCATAATATGAGCTGCAATAACGTAGCTTCTGACGACAAGATTTTTGTTATATATTGTGTCGTAGGAAGCCGGGTATTAATATTAAATGGAGTACAACTAGAATATTTGAAACTTAATGTTTAATTTGTTATCCTTACCCACAGGGTCGTCATCTTCCAATTGAAAAGAAAAGATTGTAATTTGGTGAAGAATTAAAGACAAAAGACAACAATGTGAATTAATTTCAGTGCTCTTGAATGATATCCTACAATTGGAACAGAATGCTTTAATATTCCACATGGATGAACTGAATGGGAGATTTCTACTGCGATTCAGAGCTAGAAATACACCCAGTATTTCCATCCAGACACACCATGTCACAAGTATATAATTGCCTTCTGAGAGAAACCAAGGAGTGTGAATAGATTCAAACACGTTCCAGGGAGTGAATTTAGAAAATAGACAATGTTTTTCACACTGAAAGAAATTGTGAAATGGCTGGGTATAACTTCGTTCGAGATCTGGATGCACGTGGTATCAGTGGCGGCCTTCTCCGTGCTATCTGTGATGAAGTACGAAAAAATAATGGAACTGACCTGGTGGGAGGCGTTCGCTCCCCTGTTTATATGTGACGGACTGTGTGCCTACTTTTGTATAATAGTTTTTATAAGGATGTACCGAGACTTTGGAAACCTTAGACCGGCCGTGGTGCGTCTGCTGTCTTCACTTCTTTATGTGACGTTACTGTTTGTTTTTAAAATTCTATTGAGTCAGAAACTCAGTAGAGTAAAAATCATCTCAAATTCGGAAGTTATGGCTCCACTTTTCATATTACTACAAATCGTCATGATAAGAGCTTGTCAGGTGCATTAAATCATTTTAAAGGTGTGTATATATATACATGTGCATAAAATGACGTCCCATTCATATATATGTGTTAATGGATCAGTTATTTTCATCTGTCTGGCAAATTGTTAAATTTTTTATACCCGTATCTAATGTAGATGTATTGGCAATATAGCATTAATTCTGCATATAGTCAGACTGTCTGACTATGTTAGACACAAATGACCTGTCCCATTGACTTTTTCGTAGAATATTGATTCTGGTGTAAGTGCATATGTGCCCAGGTAAGTGTGCCCACCTGTTAATTGATGTTGGTGTGTATCGAGTACATCACAAACATCACAAACATTCCGACACTGGTTGTTGGTAATTCTGTCAGCTTAACTCATTCACCCCTGAAGACACATTTGAACTCTTCCAATTCAAAGGCTGGAATAGTTCAAAATGAAATTTCAGGGGTGAATGAGTTAACAATATATTACCGGTAAAGGCGATATTAAAAAACGTTTTCATAATTCATCAAATATGAAAGTTATTTCTGAAATAAAACTGATATTTCTTTTTAAGTGACACAGCCATGCAGAAAAATGGAAAATTTTGTACATGTATTTATGATTTGTTTGTTAATAAAGTTAGGCTTACTGAAACTGATCCCAGGGTTGCATGTAGTATGTGCAATATATATACCACACAGATGACATTAATTTATAGAAGTGTTACTATACCAACAAATACGATATGGGTACATACACTCAGCAATGACAACGGTTTACTCATTACTATCGAACCCTTTCATATACCTGTAAGATAGATCTTCTTTTTCGCCCCATCCAAGTAACGACTCACCTGTGATCAATTAACCCTTTCACCACTGTAGACCATAATCGGCTCATCCATATCAATGAATGGTAGAGTCTACTAAAGTTACATAGGGTTGAAAGGGTTAAGTACTCAAAGGTCAACACAACAGGTCATTGTGATCAGAGTGAGACTAGATGTCATCTATGAAAATGATGCCTTTTTCATTTAAACGAGGACCAATGAAATATGTATGCCTGGAAAATTAGTCAAGATAGATATACATAAAAATAAAAATGTAATTTAAAGCTAATGTTTGAATTTGCTATATATTCAATCTTTCTACATTGTATATAGCAATGTTTTATTTATAAATTGATGTGGTACATGTACATGTAACACAGACTTTGTAACAATCTTTAAGTTTCGGCATTAATGTTAATTTAGCAGGTGAATTGTTTGGTAAACTTTGTAATAAAAATGGGCACGTATGTCAATAATGTTGTTGTAAATTATAAATATTATGATGTGATCATAAAAAGTCGTTTTTTCAAAAGGAATTGTCAATATGTCTTTTTTGTCCCACCATCATCAGCTGTTCAAATCGCCCTTCCTCCGTGGTCAATCCGTTGTCCGTCCTTAAACAAGAATGACGATGTATAAACAGGTAGTTATGCATGTTTTTATTTTGAGATGTTTGAGATGGTTGCCAAGCAGATATCTTGGATTTTGACTGTTAAGGATTTTACTTCTCAAAAAATACTTAATGTATTTTTCTCAAATTATGTATTCTCAGCAACAACAAAAAAAGAAAAAAAAAAAGGTTAACACGTTCCCCTTAAGTGCTACCATCCTGCCAATTGACATCCAATTCAGTAAAATCATTCAAGCGTTAAAGTTTATGGTGACCAAGAACCATCCATTTTTGGCCAGATTGCAACGCAATTATGCTCCTTCTGGCCACCGTAAGACATTCTCTGAAGCTTATGATCAGCACTTTTTTTTTTTATATAAATATATGTACCATCTATATATATTAAGGCAGTTACTTTGTCTTCAAAGAATGTCTCTGAGAATAAAGTATTTGTGAAAGTATATGTCCCCTACTCAAATAGTAAGGACCAAGGAACAGTGGAACTATAGATTTTGTAGTTTTGGTCTATACTGAAGAGGAAAGAAAAGTGATAAAGTATGAATGGATTTTGAGAAATGGTTCTTTGTCCAAGCTTTGCAGTAAGGGTCATCCGAGAGACAAAAATTGAAAGTGAAGGCTAATTGATTCTTTGATAACATGTACGACACTTCTAAAACGACATCAATTATTTCAGATAACCTAAACCATAATTGAGAATTCAAAGACCCTCTTCCTTATAGTATAACCTGTGTACAAGGGTTCAGGTCATTGCCAATAAGAAGAAATGAGAATACACTTGATGACGCAGAACATCTCAATTTGTGTGTGACCATTAACTGATTCCTGGCACGTTTTTGCAGAATTGTGGATTTGCTTCCCTACCCATTAAATTGTTAAAACAAAGACAACCTTTTTTATGTGAAAAGGACCCGTAAAACAGGTCCTTGATTGTTAAGAGAAGACAACTTTTAGTAGATTCATCTTCCAAACGTTCTTTTTCAGATTCTCTTTTGCGCAGATACCTTATGTAGCACTTCGGACAAATACTAACTTCTTCATTTGAACAATCTATGCCACGTTTAGTCAGTATAACCAAAACCTATTTATATTATGGATTTATTTTACATTTTGTTACCTTTACATTTACGAGATTTTGCGAAGATACGATGGCGACCGTCACCAATATTGAATATCAACAAATGAGTATGAAATGTCCCCTAAAAGCAATGTAAAAACAAAAGTCGGATGATAAAATGTATAAGAACTAATTCTAAAAAGTGACAAGGATATTACATTTGATCATAAAATTGATTGGAAACAAAACTTTATCAATCACACCAAGTGATGAAGCATATTTGAATTTGGAATTTGTTGTGACCTAACATGCAATGAAAGGTTTATTGTAGGCTTGCAACGAATTTCATTACCAATTACCTGTAATCAGGTACATTGCTTTTTGGTGGATGCCAGGGAGGTGTATTATGCCCTCACCTTTTTGGGTACACAGAGTACTTTGTTGTGCGAAATAAATATTTTCCACCACCTTTTTTGGACTGCATTTTTGCATACATATTTGAAATGACACCCATTCTTCATACTATGACAGTTTTTGGTATACAAGATTAATAAGAATGAAAAATCCTATATTTCACATTGAAATTTTCACAAAATGATCAACTGAACTCACATTCTGGATGATAAATATATCAATAAAGCACTTCATGAATGAAAATGTTCTTTCCGAAGTATTACGATGCAAACAGTTCAATTTTTTTTCAGAAAAATACTTTCAGGCTGATATTCCATTTTTCGACCCCCGTACTGTAATTAGGTTAATTGATCATCGAAATAATTAGTGGAGTGAATCAAAGTAATATTTTGTTTCCATATGCCATTTCTAGTTGACTGTGAGATAATGACTGACCTTGAGTTGACTATGAAGCAGTGACTGGCCTTGAGTTGAATGTGAGATTGCGGCTGACCATGTGTTGACCAAATTGCGGCTGACCTTGTGTTGACTGTGAGATTGCGGCTGATCTTGTGTTAACTGAGATGGTGACTGACCTTGTGTTGAATGTGAGATGGTGACTGACCTTGTGTTGACTGTGAGATGGTGGTTGACCTTGTGTTGACTGATATGGTGACTGACCTTGTGTTGAATGTGAGATGGTGAGTGACCTTGTGTTGAATGTGAGATGGTGACTGACCTTGTGTTGAATGCGAGATGGTGACTGACCTTGTGTTGAATGTGAGATGGTGGCTGACCTTGTGTTGAATGTGGGATGGTGGCTGACCTTGTGTTGACTGTGAGATGGTGGCTGACCTTGTGTTGAATGTGGGATGGTGGCTGACCTTGTGTTGACTGTGAGATGGTGGCTGACCTTGTGTTGAATGTGAGATGGTGGCTGACCTTGTGTTGAATGTGAGATGGTGGCTGACCTTGTGTTGACTGTAAAATGGTGACTGACCTTGTGTTGACTGTGATATGGTGACTGACCTTGTGTTGACTGTGAGATGGTGGTTGACCTTGTGTTGACTGATATGGTGACTGACCTTGTGTTGAATGTGAGATGGGGACTGACCTTGTGTTGAATGTGAGATGGTGGTTGTCCTTGTGTTGAATGTGAGATGGTGACTGACCTTGTGTTGACTGTGAGATGGTGGTTGACCTTGTGTTGACTGTGAGATGGTGGTTGACCTTGTGTTGACTGATATGGTGACTGACCTTGTGTTGAATGTGAGATGGTGGCTGACCTTGTGTTGAATGTGAGATGGTGGCTGACCTTGTGTTGACTGTAAAATGGTGACTGACCTTGTGTTGACTGTGATATGGTGACTGACCTTGTGTTGACTGTGAGATGGTGGTTGACCTTGTGTTGACTGATATGGTGACTGACCTTGTGTTGAATGTGAGATGGTGAGTGACCTTGTGTTGAATGTGAGATGGTGACTGACCTTGTGGTAATTGACATTGATTTGTCTGTGAGATAGTGTCTGACCTTGTGTTGACTGTGAGATGGTGACTGACCTTGTGTTGGATGTGAGATGGTGGCTGACCTTGTGTTGACTGTAAAATGGTGACTGACCTTGTGTTGACTGTGATGGTAATTGACATTGATTTGTCTGTGAGATAGTGGCTGACCTTGTGTTGACTGTGAGATGGTGACTGACCTTGTGTTGGCTGTGAGATGGTGACTGACTTTGTGTTGAATGTGAGATGGTGCCTGACCTTGTGTCGAACGTGAGATGGTGACTGACCTCGTGTTGAATGTGAGATGGTGCCTGACCTTGTGTCGAACGTGAGATGGTGACTGACCTCGTGTTGAATGTGAGATGGTGACAGACCTTGTGTTGACTGTGATGGTAAGTGACATTGTTTTGTCTGTGAGATAGTGGCTGACCTTGTGTTGAATGGAAGATGGTGACTGACCTTGGGTTGGCTGGGAGATGGTGACTGAGCTTGTGTTGTCTGAGATGGTGACTGACCTCGTGTTGAATGTGAGATGGTGCCTGACCTTGTGTCGAACGTGAGATGGTGACTGACCTCCTGTTGAATGTGAGATGGTGACTGTCCTTCTGTTGAATGTGAGATGGTGCCTGACCTTGTGTCGAACGTGAGATGGTGACTGACCTCGTGTTGAATGTGAGATGGTGTTTGACCTTGTGTTGACTGTAAGATGGTGACTGACCTTGGGTTGACTGTGAGATGGTGACTGTCCTTCTGTTGAATGTGAGATGGTGCCTGACCTTGTGTCGAACGTGAGATGGTGACTGACCTTCTGTTGAATGTGAGATGGTGTTTGACCTTGTGTTGAATGTGGGATGGTGACTGACCTTGTGATGACTGTGATATGGTGACTGCCCTTGTGTTGACTGTGAGGTGGTGGCTGACCTTGTGTTGAATGGGTTGGTGACTGACCTTGTGTTGCCTGTGAGATGGTGACTGACCATGTGTTGACTGTGAGATGGTGGCTGACATTTTGTGTTGTGTGAGATGGTGACTGACCATGTGTTGACTGTGAGATGGTGACTGACATTGTGTTGACTGTGAGATGTTTACGGACCTTGTGTTGACTGTGAGGTGGTGACTGACCTTGTGTTGGCTGTGAGATGGTGTTTGACCTTGTGTTGACTGTAAAATGGTGACTGCCCTTGTGTTGACTGTGAGAGGGGGGCTGAGCTTGTGTTGACTGTGAGATTGCGGATGATCTTGTGTTAACTGAGATGGTGACTGACTTTGTGTTGAATGTGAGATGGGGGTTGACCTTGTGTTGAATGTGTGATGTTGGTTTACCTTGTGTTGACTGTGATGGGGACTGACCTTGTGGTGACTGTGAGGTGGTGACTGACCTTGTGTTAAGTGAGATGGTGGCTGACTTTGTGTTGACTGTGACATGGTGACTGACCTTGTGTGGACTGTGAGATGGTGACTGGCCTTGTGTTGACTGTGATATGGCGACTGACCTTGTGTTGACTGTAAAATGATGACTGACCTTGCGTTGACTGTGATATGGTGACTTACCTTGTGTTGTCTGTGAGATGTGACTGACCTTGTGTTGAATCTGAGATGGTGACTGACCCTGTGTTGCCTGTGTTATGGTGACTGACCTTGTGTGGACTGTGAGATGGTGACTGACCATGTGTTGACTGTGAGATGGTGGCTGACTTTGTGTTGACTGTGATATGGCGACTGACCTTGTGTTGAATCTGAGATGGTGACTGACCTCCTGTTGAATGTGAGATGGTGCCTGACCTTGTGTCGAACGTGAGATGGTGACTGACCTCCTGTTGAATGTGAGATGGTGGTTGACCTGGTGTTGACTGTGAGATGGGGGTTGACCTTGTGTTGACTGTGCTATGGTGACTGACCTTGTGTTAACTGAGATGGGGACTGACCTTGGGTTGAATGTGTGATGGTGGGACCTTGTGTTGAATGTGACATGGTGACTGACCTTGTGTGGACTGTGAGATGGTGACTGACTTTGTGTTGAATGTGAGATGGAGACTGACCTTGTGTTGAATGTGAAGGTGACTAACCTTGTGTTGACTGTTAAGGCTCATCTGACTGTTAGGATTGACGTTGTGTTGAATGTGGGATGGTGACTGACCTTGTGTGGACTGTGAGATGGTGACTGCCCTTGTGTTGACTGTGAGGTGGTGGTTGACCTTGTGTTAAATGTGAGATGGTGACTGACCTCCTGTTGAATGTGAGATGGTGCCTGACCTTGTGTCGAACGTGAGATGGTGACTGACCTTCTGTTGAATGTGAGATGGTGACTGTCCTTCTGTTGAATGTGAGATGGTGACTGACCCTGTGTTGACTGTGATGGTAAGTGACATTGATTTGTCTGTGAGATAGTGTCTGACCTTGTGTTGACTGTAAAATGGTGACTGACCCTGTGTTGACTGTGATGGTAATTGACATTGATTTGTCTGTGAGATAGTGGCTGAGCTTGTGTTGACTGTGAGATGGGGGTTGACCTTGTGTTGAATGGGAGATGGGGGCCGACCTTGTGTTGACTGTGATTGTAATTGACATTGATTTGTCTGTGAGATAGTGGCTCACCTTGTGTTGACTGTGAGGTGGTGGCTGACCTTGTGTTGAATGGAAGATGGTGACTGACCTTGGGTTGGCTGGGAGATGGTGACTGAGCTTGTGTTGTCTGAGATGGTGACTATCCTTGTGTTGTCTGTGAGATGTGACTGACCTTGTGTTGAATGGCAGATGGTGACTGACCTTGTGATGACTGTGATATGGTGACTTACCTTGTGTTGTCTGTGAGATTGTGACTGACCTTGTGTTGTATGCGATGGTGACTGACATTGTGTTGACTGTGAGATGTTTACGGACCTTGTGTTGACTGTGAGAGGGTGACTGACCTTGTGTTGCCTGTGAGATGGTGACTGACCTTGGGTTGAATGTGAGATGGTGGTTGTGATATGGTGACTGACCTTGCGTTGACTGCGAGATGGTGACTGACCTTGGGTTGACTGTGAGATTGCGGCTGATCTTGTGTTAACTGAGATGGTGACTGACCTCCTGTTGAATGTGAGATGGTGCCTGACCTTGTGTCGAACGTGAGATGGTGACTGACCTCGTGTTGAATGTGAGATGGTGCCTGACCTTGTGTCGAACGTGAGATGGTGACTGACCTCGTGTTGAATGTGAGATGGTGACTGTCCTTGTGTTGACTGTGAGAGGGTGACTGACCTTGTGTTGTCTGCGATGGTGACTGACCTTGTGGTAATTGACATTGATTTGTCTGTGAGATAGTGGCTGACCTTGTGTTGAATGTGTGATGTTGGTTTACCTTGTGTTGACTGTGATTGTAATTGACATTGATTTGTCTGTGAGGTAGTGGCTGACCTTGTGTTGCCTGTGAGATGGTGACTGACCATGTGTTGACTGTGAGATGGTCCCTGACCTTGTGTTGACTGTGAGATGGTGGTTGACCTTGTGTTGAATGTGAGATGGTGGTTGACTTTGTGTTGACTGAGATGGTGAGTGACCTTGTGTTGAATGTGATGGTGGTTGACCTTGTGTTGACAGTGAAATGGTGGGTGACCCTGTGTTGAATGTGAGATGGTGGCTTAATTTGTTCACATTGTCCAAATGACTAAGGTTAGATTGTATCATGCCAGGACGTCTGTTGTCCGTCAAAAATCCAATAAAAACGACATTCCTCCTGAACTGATGAGGGGGAAACAACCAATTTTTGTCTTTGCATCAGAAGGTGGTTGCGATTCAAAAACGACAAATATAGATGCTGACACCCTAGGGGCAACAGGTCAACAGGGGTGGGGGTATACATTTGTATTGTTTTTAATGACACCTTATTCAAACCTGCTGACCAGAGTTCAAAGAAACCTTGTTGGAAGCATCATTTAGGTAAGGGATTCAAGAAGCTTACTTTAGTCCAGATTTGATGCAGTCGCCGTTTGAACCCCATTGTCGTTAACTTTGAAGACCATTTGCTCTAAAACCATGCCTCTGCATTCATAGTCGATTATCTAGTTTTGGTGAAGTTGTTAAAACTGTTGGGTTTTTTTTTCACTCAGTTGATACAAAAATGTCATTATTTTCAACAGAAAGATATTTAGACTAAAATATATATATATATAAACCAGTTTGTCTATAGAATGATCTATGATTATTGCCTTCGACTGCTACTTCTTTTTCCAAGAAAGGTGAATGGCGATATGAACATATGGTTGTATTTAGTTAAATATACTGAGGATTAAATTGTGATAATTGTTTAGTTCCTGGTTTACAATGTCTTTGTTGAGTTCGCTGGCAAGATGTTCCAGCAGACTGTATGCATTCCTATGGGAACAAACTTCTGGCCCACTTGGTAGTGTTTTCATATGAGGCTGAATTTATTGATGAGCTTACGAGGACTGGTAACAAAACGCTTACCCAGTCCCTTCAATTTCACGACTTACTGTATTTAAATATAAGAGCTTGTAATCAAGGACATCACAGACTCTTCCACTTCAGCCCCTTAGATCTTTATTTGAAACATGACCAACATGCACGGCTTACTTTTTCGACTTTCCGACCATGGGCTTTCCCTTTCTTGATAGTAACATGTGGCCGTTGATTCGGTATTCAAGAGTTTGCTCCGAATACTCCCCTGGTAGATGTCGATGTCGACTACTGACGAACAAACTTACAGCACAGGGTTTCCAAAGATACAGAATGATGACGACTATGAACAAGGCCTATGGTCTCCATCATGACCTAAGAATATGCTATTTGTTTATGTGGTATGAAGGCCGATGCTTTTTTATTATGCTCATTTGTGTGCCTTGTGGCTTTGATGTCACTACCAGAGCTTCGGTTTGAGGACGTAGCATTGCTTTGGTGTCGTCGATGAAGTAGAAGAAGCATACCCTTCCGGAACACCTGGGCCCGTATTCATGAAAATGTTTTCATACTCTAATTCAGATTCTGTTGTTTTGTGTTAACAAATAACAACATTACATCTGTAGTGCTTATTATTTCTTGCGGCTATTTTCTCAAATCTTTCGGTTCAGTTTTGGCTATATGTACAGTCTAAATTATGAAAAAGAAAATCTATCAGTACAATGTAGTATTTGATGCATGCAAATTAAACATTCACCTGTAGGCGTATATAAATGTTGATCTTGCGAGAAACTGTACAGAGTCAATTTATATTTTTGTTCATGGTTTTGCGTCATTGCACATACTTTTCTTTTTCGAGAGTGATTCTTCTGATAGCTAATCCCAGGTGTCCTGTGTAAACACGCACTAAACTATTTAGATTGATGTCAAAAGGTTGAAAAATATTTCATAACTGAATATGTCATCAATGTTACAGGAAATGATAACACAAATAAATACATGTTAACATTTCGTAGTAAATTCATACCTTTATTTACATTGTATATATACATTATAAATGATTTTCATTTCAATCATTTCCCATTTGCCTTAAGTCATCTACAAAAGAGCAATCACGTGCAGAATATGTCATGGATTATGCTACGGTAGAAACGTCACAATTAAATATGTTTTGCTCACACAAAATACCCGATGACGATTTTGATTTTTTGCGTACCCAAACATCGATTTTTCATATGCAACAGGGTTTCTTGTTTTGCAGAAATCGAATTTTGCATATTCAAAAATATCAGTTGGTATAAAAATTATCTTTGGGTATGTAATATAGCTTTAGTATGCAAGGGTATTTAATGGTGACGCATCTCGCTCAATAATGGACGGACAGAACTTCAGAAGAAAAGAAGAGAAGAAGAAGATCTCAGAATAGCTAGCAGCCGCTCCAGGTAGAGCCGATCTCTATTTGTGAAAGATAAATGCACTCGCTCAACTTGTAAAATCTGTCAAAATATACAAAAACACTTCTTAGTTCAAGATGGAATGTGCACAAAGTTGCTATCCGGACACATACTAAGCAATATATTAAACTTTGCCAATACAAAACGATTTTATACACTTAAAATACAGCTTTTCTCTTTCTTGCAGTTATACTGCCTTTAATAGACCCCTCTTGAGATCACGAGGGACTTCTTGAAGAAAACAATATTGTTTGAACAACGTCAATTCTTCCTTTTTAAATCTCCGTTTCCGTTTCCAATTCCATTTTGGTCTCATTGTAAACCACAACACTCGGCACGCGCGTGAAAGCAGAGTCTTCACTTCCAATTTTAGCAACAGGAGACTTCCTGTTTGCGTCATGATCATCTACTTCCGGTTTGTGCAGGGTTGAGAAAGAGTTTAAGTCCTCTGAGTTTGTCTTGGTAACAGATGATGAGGTAGTGAGATTGAGAGGATGGTATGACGTCAGCAGGGCACGTGTCGTGTTTTGTAGAAAAGTCAAACGTTGATTCCGTCTCCATTTGGCTCTTCTATTCGAAAACCAAACCTGTAACATGAAATCAATTTCGATTTAGTTTAAACAGTATTTATGCAATATTCAAATATGTTAATTACATACATATAATTACACAGGGATTGGAAAACAAGTTTATACATTTTGTAAGAGCTAATATTGATTCGTCTCCCAAATGTTAAATTTGTGTATATATTTGTTTTGTGTGAGTATACTACCCCTCGTGTTTATATGTATTGCAAGCCTAGGTCATTACTATTATACCATGCGCTGCGTCTGTCGTCGATAGCATAACGATTCTATCTGCCAACTGCCAGGGTCTTGGGGATCTAGTTAAACAAAAAGATGTGTTTTCCTATTTAAAAGCGAAAAGGTACAATATTTACTGTCTACAGGATACTCACTTTACAGCCGACAAGGAAAAAATTATTCGTTCGAATTGGGGATTTGACTGTATTTTTAACTCTTTTAACTCTAACTCTAGAGGAACTGCAATACTTTTTAACAATAATTTCGAGTATAAAGTCTTACAGGTAAGAAAGGATTTTAACGGTAATATGCTAGCACTTGATATTCAAATACAGGGAGAGAAACTTACTTTGATAACACTATATGGACCTAACACTGACCAACCAGTATTTTTCGAGGAGTTAATGAATATTATAGAAGAATTGGGTAATAATAAATATATATTATGTGGAGATTTTAATATTACTATGGATCCGAAATTAGATTGTGATAATTACAAACATATAAATAATCCAAATGCAAGAAATAAAGTTATAGAGTTCAAAGACGAGTTTGGAATTATAGATACTTTCAGAGAACTTAACCCCAATATTAAAAGATATACATGGCGTAAGAAAACTCCTCTTAAACAAGCACGGTTAGACTACATATTAATATCTGACAGTTTACTACCAAGTCTAACATCTTCTGTAATTGAACCAAGTTACCGATCTGATCACTCTATTTCTGTCATACACTTAGCTTTTCACAACTTTCAAAAAGGTAGGGGATTATGGAAATTTAATAACTCTTTATTGTTTGATTTAGAATATGTAACTCTCATCAAATCTACTATAGACATTATAAAACAACAATACTCTTTACCAGTATACAACATAAATAATTTAAATGCAATTCCTTTAAATGAAATAACCTTTACTGTAAATGATCAATTATTCTTGGAAACTCTCATGATGGAAATAAGGGGTAAAACCATTTCATACTCTAGCTATGTGAAAAAAAAATCTAATGAAAGAGAAAAGGATCTCATAAATCAAATTAAAAACTTAGAAACAGTTCCTAATAATACAGATTTAAATAACATAGATGAAAAGAAAAAAGAATTAGAAGAAATTAGAAAACATAAGATAGCAGGTAATATGATACGGTCAAGGGCCAAGTGGATAAGTGAAGGTGAAAAACCAACAAAATACTTCTGTGGGCTAGAATCACGTAACTTTACTAGTAAGATAATTCCTAATATAACTATGGAGGATGGGACTGTAATTTTAGATCAAACAGAAATCTTAAAAGAAACTAAAAACTACTATGAAAACTTATATAAGAAAAATCAGTTACTTCAGGATGTTGATCTCAATGAACTTTTAAGAACATATATTGTGCCAAAGTTATCCCCCCTTGAGTCAGTAAGTTTAGAAGGTCCAATTACTATGAATGAATTAGCAAAAACCCTTAAAAAAATGAAAAATAATAAAAGTCCTGGTTCAGATGGTTTCACTGTTGAATTTTTTAAAATATTTTGGAAACAGTTAGGGCATTTTATTCTTAGATCAATAAATTATGGTTATACTATATCTGAACTATCAGAAACACAGAAACAAGGAATTATTACTTGCATCCCAAAAGGAGATAAACCTCGTAACAAATTAAAAAACTGGAGACCAATTACCCTTCTAAATAATATTTATAAAATGGCATCTGGTGCAATAGCTGAACGATTAAAAACAATAATAACCAAATTGATAAGTAATAACCAAACTGGCTTTATTCCTGGTAGATACATAGGGGAAAATACTCGTTTAATATATGATGTTATGCAATATACAGAAGACTATGATATTCCTGGACTTATACTTCTCATTGATTTTGAAAAAGCCTTTGATTCTGTTTCTTGGAACTTTATAGCAAAAACCCTAAAATATTTCAAATTTGGCCCAACTATAATTAACTGGATAAAACTGTTTCAACAAAAAATTCACTCAGCAGTAAACATAGGGGGAAACTTATCACATTTTTTCAGCATAGAACGTGGCTGTCGCCAAGGAGATCCTGTATCTTCTTATATTTTTATATTATGTGCAGAAATTTTATCGATACTTTTAAGAAATAACAATAACATTAAGGGGATATTTGTACGGGATAATGAAATTCTGTTATCACAATTTGCAGATGATACATCTGTTATTTTAGATGGCTCTAAAAGATCTCTGGATGAAACTTTAAAAGATCTCTCTTATTATGCAAAATTATCAGGATTAAAAATGAATTTCTCCAAGACCCAGGTAGTTTGGATTGGCAGCAAAAAATATAGTGGAAACACTTACACAACAGATTGCAATTTACAATGGGGAAGTACAACTTTCAATTTGCTAGGGATAGACTATGATGTAGACTTGCACAGAATTACAAAACTGAATTTTGATAAAAAACTTATAAAACTAAAATCTCTTATATCATCATGGAATAGACGAGTACTTACACCAATAGGTAAAATATCAGTTATTAAAACACTACTTATATCACAGTTTAACCATTTATTTATAGCACTACCAAATCCTGATGAAACATATATAAGAAAAATTAATAGTGTACTGTATGAATTTTTGTGGAATGGTAAACCAGATAAAATAAAGAGAGATGTGATAATTAAAAGTTATGAAGAAGGTGGTCTGAAAATGATACATTTAAAATCTTTTATAACAGCTCTTAAAGCAACATGGATAAGACGGGTATATAAAGAAGAAGGAAATTGGGCTCTTATTTTAGAAACTTATTTTGATAAAGAAACATTAGCTAACTGTGGGCTTGAAAAATTGAAAGAAGAATCTAAACGTTGTAGTAACCTCTTTTGGAAAGATGTCTTAGAAGCATGGTACAATACTATTATCTCTAGCAATATATACAATACAAATATACGTGAAAACCCTCTGTGGTTCAATAGTGAAATTAAAATTGACAGAAAATTTACATTCAAAAATTCATGGTTTAAAAAGGGAGTACAATTTGTATATAACATTATTAAACAGGATGGATCACTCTACCACTTTGAAGAATTTCAAGAAAAATATAACATAAATACTAATTTTTTGACATACCAAGGCCTAAAGAATGCTGTGCATCATTTTATAAGAAAAAATCATCACATTTTTACTTCAGAAAAAACAGTTATCTTTCCAAATATACCTATCAATCTTAAGTTAATACTTAAAAATAGTAAAGGAGCACAAGACATATATTTAATATTAATTAAAAATAATGTTAAACCTACTGCTAAAAAAAATTGGATATTAAATGATAATATAGATAATGAAACATGGAAAAAAATATATGAATGTCCTTTTAAAACCACCACCAACTCCAAACTACAGTGGCTACAGTACAGAATAAACCACAGAATTCTCACTACAAACACATTTTTATTCAAAATTGGCAAATCATACAATAACCTTTGCACTTTCTGTAAAATTCACCCTGAAACAATAGTTCTATGCTATGGGATTGCGAAAAAATTGATAGGCTAATTGACTAGCTGAAAACAAATAATATAACTAAAAACCTTACATTAAGATTTGAAAAACAAGAATTCCTTTTTGGTAAACATACATATAACCATACAAAGTTTTATATAGAAAACATCATAATACTACTTATAAAACAATACATATATAAAACTAAATGCCTAGAAATTGACCTTAATCTGACTAGTCTCAAAAACCATATAAAATTTGAATTAAAAGCACAAAAGATTCTTGTGTATAAACAGAATAAAGTAATAAATAAGGATGAGTTAAACCATCAAATAGATAACTGGATGCAATTATAATATGACTATATATATATATATATGACATTTGTTCTATACATATATACATCTATTGTACTTTATCGTCTCCTCACTGTAATAATAATCATCAAATATTTCATACATTTTAATTCGCCAGGCTTAAGTTAAAATATAATGACCTAGGAGTGCTCCCCATCCCCTGTAATGTTTTGTGGGTTTTTTCTCTTGTGTGTTTGATGTCATAGGTTTATATATATTGTTTTTGCATCAGTGTCTCGGTGTGTGTCTTTATGTATGTACATGACATTGGCAATTTTTTGCTTAATATCTGCTTATGTGTTAATAATAATATCTTATATGATGATGATGATGATCTTTGTTTAATATGTATGAACAATGTCATATATGTTTTGTCTTGTCTTGTAAAAAATGAAAAAATAATGAAAGAAATAAATAAAAAAAAAAAATTGTGACCACATGAAGGCAGCGGACGATCTGAAAAATTTGTTTTTATTCTATATATATATATATATATATATATATATATATCGGGCGAAATGATTATTCTTAAGATAATATTTGATTGCTCATTATTACGATTCGATCCATGCCTAGTGTGCTTAGATATATAAATATTGTTTGATAACCATTCAGACTGACTCAGTTACATATATATATATACACATGCTCATGAAGATTTACAATTATTCTATTTCTATATTAATGTCATACTTAGTCCAAATACATGGACAATTTAAAATCGATATCTGCGATATTAATCTGATCATACCATCCCGGCGCGCGCACCTGTTCCATCTTTAATACCTAACATAGCCGATCATGTGACACTTTCATCCGATCGAGAAATTCAAATTCAGTGGCCATCAAACAACGCGTGCCGACGATGATTAATAAAAATGTAACGAAAGTAATCTATACAACGAAATATACTTTGTAAAAATGTAAAACGATTTGAAATGGGACGGTATATATATGATAATAGGATAAATAAATACTCATTTCCAATTCTAAGATAAGAATAATATGTTAAATTTGACAACAGATGCGGTTATGACTATTTAATATCGTTTATACAATGTTTCAACATATTAATTACCGGCGAACAAGATATATCCGTTTCCAGACATAAAATTTAACGTCGTAAAAAGGTCAACTGAAACTGCGGGTGATTCACGACGGTACATTCTCGTCTGACAAGCGACAACAAAGTCTGGCCAGTGACCATTAAGTCTGACCAGTGACCATGAAGTCTGGCCAGTGACCACAAAGTCTGGCCAGTGACCATAAAGTCTGGCCAGTGACCACAAAGTCTGACCAGCGACCACAAAGTCTGACCAGTGACCATAAAGTCTGGCCAGTGACCACAAAGTCTGACCAGCGACCACAAAGTCTGGCCAGTGACCACAAAGTCTGGCCAGTGACTACACACTTGTGTTAAGTGCAGATCAGGCATGTGGCTCGGACACCATTTTGTATCAATACATTATTCAATGCAATGAGATGTTGATGCCGTGTTTCGTTATTATATTTAGTAATACATAAACTGTTTCGTTTTCCAGAAACCTAGGCAAAATGTAATATTATGCATTTTGAAGAAGGGGAAATAACGATGTAAATAATTACATAAGGATTACCCTTGTAAGCTATTTGGAGAAACTTTTTACATATGCCATTAATCGTAGACTTGTGGTTTCGACAAAAAATAAAGTAAAATAACGGATGCTCAGTTTGGTTTGAAGGTTTGTCGACTATTAATGAGGTATTTGCATTACAGACATTTTAAAATTACTCGAATTTTGAATCAGAAAAAAATATCGATGTTTTGTCAATAACACGTGCAAGGGTGTTTGATTTTAACAATCGTCAAATTGTATGGTTTAAATTTGTAAATAAAGGAATTGACGGGAAGTTATAAAAAATAATGAGATCGATGTACAGATAGATGTGTGAGACGTCGCGTAAAAAAATATTGCTCATTATCATATTATTTATTGTGAAAATGGAATGTTGCAAGGATTATCTTTTATCTCTACCGTTGCTTTCTAAGTCATTGCGAAATCCTGTTTTCACTGATAATAACCAATCGATAGAAACTCAAACGTTGACTATGGTTATATTGATGACTTCAGAAACGCAAATGGGTTTACATTCAATGTTGAATTCCTTTAGACACATAAATAGAAAAAATGGGTCTTATACTGTTAATATTAACAAAACAGAAGTTCTCACGTTCAGAAATAAAGAGATTCGGGCGAAAAAGATCTGTTTCATGTACAAATTGTTGATGAATTTATATATTTAGACGTCCGATGGACGTTCTGCATTTCAAGCAATGGCGCTGAAGTATTCACACTAGTTTATTTTGTAAGTGATCGCTTGATTACGTAAAACGCTTGTTTTGCCACGGTTTATCAGAATTAAGCCGAGGTTTACGATATCATTGCTGGGGAAATTAAAAAAAAAAAGTATTTGATAAAATTGAAAAGAGCTAGCAATTTTATATAGGAGCATGTTACAAAGAAATGATACAGAACAAGGGTACATGGACGGTCAACGTCAAAGACGAGCTTTACAAGATAGTCCTAGTGTATACACAGGGACATGATACTGATGATTACATTTCTATTGTATAAATAATAATTGAAAATAGATTCTGATGTTTTTTAGAGAAAAAATGTGCAGAACAAATACCACCCTTGAAAAATATAGATGTCTTCATTAAAGTTATGATCTGCAAAATTACACGTGTAAGCTTATATCAAGAGAACAACTGAAAGAAATGAAAAGTAGAAAAAGGGCGATATCAAAACACCTGATGAGGAAGTTGAGTGCGATGTGTGTCATCTGGACGATGATGAAGATGAGTTTAATTTTATTCTAAAATATCCATGTTATTTTCCTGCACATTTTTTAATTAATATATTAAAAAGCTAAGTATATCTAAATTGATGATAGAAATGCTTTGTGTTAAGAACACGTAAGTAAAATCTTAGCAAAATATATCAAAACTGTTTATGCGAGAAGGACTCTATCCTCGCTGTAGTCGTACCCTCGAAATTCTATGGATCATATTGTGATATTTGTGGAGCTATATAGTGCAATATTAGAGTTATGTTGTTTTGTAAGGTTTACTGTAAATAACTCACATTTTTAACCAATGAAACGTTAAACAAGAGTGAACGATTTTCTGCCTTACCTCTCAAATGTAAATGGTGAAATGTCTACTGTCTGTCTTTGACACAAATTAATATTTTTGCACCTGATCTTTGCATAGGGTAAGTATTTGTGTGCAAAGCTCCTAACATGGGTGAATATTTTTGCTCATAGCCTGCCTTGGCTAAACACTCTTTGCGCCTAGCGTAGAACGTGTGCAGATATTTTTGTTGCGCCCGCCCTTGAGTATGGGTTATTTTTGGAGCACTCGTAATTTAGAACGGGCGAATATTGTTCTTGTGCTCGTTCTCTGGTATGAGTGAATATTTTGTTTCATCCGTCTTCTTCTTTGGGTGAATAGTATGGTTGAATAGTTTTATATCGCTTATTCGCGCCGTCCCTAGTATGGTTGAATAACTTTCGCGCCGTCCCTAGTATGGGTGAATAGTTTTCGCGCCGTCCCTAGTATGGGTGAATAGTTTTCGCGCCGTCCCTAGTATGGATGAATTGTTTTCGCGCCGTCCCTACTATGGGTGAAAAGTTTTGTTACTTTCCATGCAGCTTACCTGTACTCTTGCCTCTGAAAGGCCCGTTTTCTTAGCCAGATCTTCACGTGTCGTGACGCCAGGGTAGTGCGTCTTCTGGAACTCCCGCTCGAGGACGTCCAGCTGCTCTGACGAAAACGTCGTCCTGTTACGTCGCAACTTCTGGGGCTGGGAGTTGACGTCATCCAGGTCTTCCGCGTGGTCCGACGAATTCTCCTCAACTACAAAAAGAAAAAGGATAATTTGAAAATATGAAAATACATGTACCTTAAAGATAATTATTTTAAACTTATATAATAAATATGATTTAAATACAATTAATGAGACTTTTACGTAAACTGACCGTCAATATCCGGATCATCTTTTTCTGTATCGTGGTCGCTGTTTTCCGCTTCTGATTGTGTCTGTATCACAGGGACTCTTGGGGAGGTATCCCGAACATCCAATGACTGAGCTGGAATACCCCACATCGGAGGATACGGAACCGGATACAGAGATCTACTGAAGAACCGCGCATACTCCATTGCAGCTCGTTCTGCTGCTCTGTTACGCAATATCCGGTTGATGGAGCTGACACTTGGAAGGTTGCACTGAGTGCAAATGCCTGTAAAATATCGAAGGAAATGTAACACAACACGAGTGACAAGGGTTCATGGTTGGTTAGTTTCTGTACCCTAGTGCAGTCTCTAAACGTCTATAGCCCTTCTAGCCTCTTCTCTAGCCGTCCCTTGCTCTTCTCTCTCTCTCTCTCATTATCCCCTTTATAGGTTATATTTATACTCGATTATAATCTATTGTTACGTGCATAGATGGTCAGTTGAGACTTGAAGATCATATCTATGTAATCCTGGATTAATATTACCGATATCCGTAATCAATTACACAACGTTGTCCGAGCTATTCCCGATATACGTAATCAATTACACACCGTCGTAACACCGACTGTTTCACAGAAAACCATACCAACGGGAAATAAAGTCTTGATCGAAGTCATTCTAATGATTTCTCCACTGAAAACCTCAAACTTGTCAGTGTTTTTTGACTGTGTTCAAAATTCGTTCTATAACTGAACATAAATATTGTAAAATGTTGTTTTGACGGTGGAATAACTCTTGTAAGTAGATTAGTAAACCTGTTGAATATTGAATGTAAAGTGGTAAAAAGCTATTTTGAACTTTATTTAAAAGTGTGTTATGTTACATCGTTGTTTATTGAGTGTTTGACTATCACATATGTTTTATCATAACTGAATATGTTACAATACAGTGACTATGTAATCTTGGAGATGAATGATTAAAAAGAGTACTCGGTTGAACGTTGAATATGTAATCTTGTAGTTGAATGTCAAAAAATGTTTCCTGGTTAAACGTTGAATATATTGGTTCGTAGATGACTATTTAAAACGTTACCTTGTTGAATGTTGAAAGTGTTAGTTTGTAGATAAAGATTTAAATCGTTACCTTGTTGAATGTTGAAAGTGTTAAATTGTAGATGAAGATTTAAATCGTTACATTGTTGAATGTTGAAAGTGTTAGTTTGTAGATGAATATTTAAAACGTGACCTTGTTGAATGATGAAAGTGCAAGTTTGTAGATGACTATTTAAAACGTTACCTGGTTGAATGTTGAAAGTGATAGTTTGTAGATGAAGATTTAAAACGTTACATTGTTGAATGTTGAAAGTGTTAGTTTGTAGATGAAGATTTAAAACGTTACCTTGTTGAATGTTGTAAGTGATAGTTTATAGATGACTATTTAGAACGTTACCTTGTTGAATGTTGAAAGTGATAGTTTATAGATGACTATTTAGAACGTTACCTTGTTGAATGTTGAAAGTGTTAGTTTGTAGATGACTATTTAAAACGTTACCTGGGTGAATGTTGAAAGTGATAGTTTGTAGATGACTATTTAAAACGTGACCTTGTTGAATTTTGAAAGTGTTTGTTTATAGATGAACATTTAAATCGTTACCTTGTTGAATGTTGAAAGTGTTAGTTTTTAGATAAAGATTTAAAACGTTACCTTGTAGAATGTTGAAAGTGTTAGTTTGTAGATCAAGATTTAAAACGTTACCTTGTTGAATGTTGTAAGTGATAGTTTATAGATGACTATTTAGAACGTTACCTTGTTGAATGTTGAAAGTGATAGTTTATAGATGACTATTTAGAACGTTACCTTGTTGAATGTTGAAAGTGATAGTTTATAGATGACTATTTAGAACGTTACCTTGTTGAATGTTGAAAGTGTTAGTTTGTAGATGACTATTTAAAACGTGACCTTGTTGAATGTTGAAAGTGTTTGTTTATAGATGAACATTTAAATCGTTACCTTGTTGAATGTTGAAAGTGTTAGTTTGTAGATGAATATTAAAAACGTGACCTTGTTGAAAGTGTTAGTTTGTTGATGAATATTCTCGACTCCAATTATCATTATCCTCTCTACATAAAACAAATTTAGCGGTGTCTAAGTAATGGTTTTTATCAACATGGTCATTGAAAAAACCCAATCTAGATTCCGATCACGAAGAAATTTTACAGTTCTAGCCACCGAGCCCCTATGTTTGGACTGGGACCAAGTTGAATGGTTAAATGTTACCTGGTTAACTGGTTTAGTGCTGAAAATGTAAGCTTGTAGTTGAATGTTGATAACGTTCACCTGTTAAATATTTACTTGTAGCGAGATAAAACGTCATTGATTTAAAAAGATGATAATTTTACTATTTCGCGAGTAAACATGTAAATATTTTATCCGATATATTAAAACTTAATAGTAGTTAAAATGATATGTGTATCACCGCCGGAGACTTATGGAAATCCTGGTGATATTTGATAAACATTCGTATTACACAATATCTACTCCCACGTATCCAGCTGTATTAAATATCAAGTTTTGATTCTATAATCATCGGTGACAGCTACAAAGTGAAGTAAGTATGTTTACACGAAATATGGTGATTGACCAGCAAATAACACCACACTTCGTGGATTAAAAACTTTAATGTTACGGGGCCGCACATCCGTAAACGGATCTTACATGAGCCATATTCTTATTTTTCAGGACAGCCAAAGTTAGTTAACTATGCTGCTGTACATGTGAGAAGGCGCCAATCCCAATCAGTACTGGTTGGACCACAGTTGTTCGTTTATGAAATAAGGTCGGACCTAGTAATCTGATGCTGCTTTCAGGCGAGCCTTGACAAAGCCCTGCCAGGCCTGTTTGCATAAACATCTGCAAGTCCGCCAGGATTTATTCCCGAAAATGTTACATTTAAAAACTGACGAACCGGTTGTTCCGCATAAACGAACAAGCCCGAAGTCTCTTCGTTACTCGTCGCACCGGGTGTCTTATTAAATAATCGGCCTTTAATAATATTAATTTATCTATCACATTGGAAATTTGAATAAACATGGGTTAAATGATAAAGGAGTTGTGACTTGATCAATAACAATAATTTCGACGCTTGGTTTCTTGTTCTTAAAAAAGTGTTGTATAATTACAAATAGATTTCTTTGAAACTTAATCACCTTTCTTAAAAAAACATATATGCTCATAAATTAACTGTAATAACCTTAAAATAAACAATGCTGTAGTCAGGACGCCGAAGCTTTTTTGGAAAAAATACTTGTTTAAGCCTTCCTGCACCCTATATCCCCTCGCCCCTTCCTCCCTTTGATCCTACAGACAGAGGCTAAATAAACCATTACTCTGCCATAGTGTTCAGTATCGGGGAAATCTATCCCGATTATTTGATATCACCCATCTAGACACCATCAATAGCCACATGCTTCTAAAGTCGTTCAATTATAGAGTAACGATGGATAATACTACATAGTCAAATTTAAAAGCGGAAATAGGTCCAATTTATTACGAATAGCCGTGTGAGCATGATATCAGCATTTATTTCAAAACAAGATATCAACGCAGAACTCCAGAAAGTAAATAAAGGTTTTTGAATTAAGATATTGTTCGTCCTGCCAGAACACCGTGATCTCTCGAACATGCGGAAATAAATAGTGATATTAGTTTGATAAGAAAGAAATGTTGTTTTTTTCACAAACGATTAATTCACGAATATGTACTCATTGTAATATACGACCAAAAGGCGGAAGTATAGGTCTATCTTACTCACATCTGGACATGTAAAACAGGGCTGATGTGTGGTATCTGGGTTATCTTTACTGTTTATAAACTAATTGAAGATTAAGATGCGGAAACTCCTAATAGCATGTCGATGGCTATAAAACCCCACTATTCAAGAGAATAACTACAGGTTTCTTTTGTCACGTATTTGTTACAACTGCGTATTTAGTGGTCCACCACTGCCGAACTACGCAATGCTTAATAAGCCCTAAAGGCCAAGTGCCATTAACGACAGGGATACCCGATGCTATGACAGTTGTAGAGTTTGTTTATGGGTACTTGATAAAATCTCCTATATTTAATTTCCATTATTAAATTGACTATGAAAACGTGAATTGAACTCTCGTATAAATTATTTTTGGCCTAGTGATTACTCATTAGATACATTGTCGCGTATATTTTATACATGTAAATTTTCGTGGTAGCGTTATTTTTTCACGGTCTCCAATGTAAATATTCAAATGTCACTTGTGAAAGCAAATTCAATAGACGGCTTGAGCCACATTTTAAGTTTCTCCATAATCGTTAGTCATTTCGCGTTATACAAAGACAAAGAACTGCCTTTATTCATTGTAGAACACATTTTTCTGACAAAAGTTTGTGGAGAAAATATATACGTGTAATAAGTAAAAACAAACTCATACAGAATATAAAATACTCTGTCCACCTCTAAAAAAATATCCTTATTCTTAATATATAACTCTGAGACGGGATTTTTTTTATTGTTTTAAGTCATAAGCTTAGTTTTATGCTAATCTCGGGGTTTTTTCAAATTCACATTTACCCAATTTGGAGCCCCCAAAACACGGTACAAGAGACATCAACTGGGTAACAATCTCGGAATGCACAGAATATACGTAAATCGAACGAGCTGGTAACAAACACATTGGTAGACTTGCTGAACACCTCTCTTTTATCGACATCGTGTAAGCGATGTAGAATTGACGCTTGGATCGACAGAACTTATAAACTCGTGTGTCCTACAATGTCTCATTGCCGCTTTTTTATCGGCCCATTATGTCATACTACCTTCCAAAATTTTGGAACCTTAAAAACGAACAAAACACTTCCACGATTACCTGGTTGGTTTAGAATATAAAATGTATGTACCTATGTAGTATTTGACTTTCTACCATTACTTAGTATCATTTTTAATTGTCTGTCATGTAATCACTTTTTGATTTAATGTTGATAGGAGATGGCTTCATAAGTTGCAATAATCCCTTGTACCCATTTGGACGATAAAATATGTTTAGAGTCAAAAAGTCTTACCTGAAGCGAGAAGCTTATCTCGGATCTCCCAGGCAAATATGGTTGGGTTCTCTTGCTTATACTGTTCAATCTTAGTTACGACGCTAGGGGTCGCCACCTTCGGTTTACTGCCGCCTATCGTAGACGGTCGACGTAGATTTAGCATCGGATCACAATACGGTGCTGTCAGAAAATTGAAATAAATAATCGAAATTAGCGGACAAATTTAAAGGAAGGAGATATCAAACTATCTCATTCGAAATGTAGTATAATATATAAAACTACAAAATAATAGCACTGCATTTATCTTATGTCACTTAAAAGCCTTAATTATTTTCTCTAGAAAACGACATATTTTAGGTAAAACATTTAAATTTCTAATAGAAATCATTCCTTTTAGCTTAAAATTGCTGGGGTTTGTAGTGTAATAACTATGGATATATATTTTCCTTATTGATGATATATAAGTATTTTTGCATTTAAATAAATAATGTGGTTCATCACCTATACATTTGACATAAAGGACATATTCTATCCGATTTTGGAGTTGCATTCCAGCGTCCAGTCTCTATTGGGATATTTAGAATTTACAAATAATTTGTCTTAATTATGGAGTAGAATTTACCACGAGAACAGTTTTCTATCTCTTGGAACCATTTCTGTATAAATTGATCTTTTAACCGCTGTTTAACTACAGCTTTGAAATGATTTCTATTCATAGTACATGTATTTTGAAAAATCCACAAATTGCTAAAACCTAACTTGTTTAATATATCTTTTATGTAACTATTCCATTTAAAATGCATTTGTTCATTTGACTGTAAAACATATGTCATTTTATATATCAGACTAGATAACTTGCTCCCGCCAGTTAACAACTTAAACCAGAACATGATCATTCTTGTCTTGATTTCTACTTCCAGAAGATATCTCCCGGTTTCTCCATAAATCATGTAATTCGGAGAAGAATTTTTCACATTCATCATTCTTTTACAAAATTACAAATGCATTCTTTCTATAGTAATAGTGTTTTCGAATCCCTTTATATCTCACAGGCAGACAATATGATCGGTGAAACAAGAGAATCAAATAACTTAAGTTGCAAATCGACAGACAATGGAATACTTATTATTTTCTTGTACATTGCATATAGTGCCTTTTAGGCTTGTTTAGTTATTTTTGCTTTTGCTTTACTAAATGTACCATTGCTATTCAATAATATGCCCAGATATGGATAAGAATTTTGGACTTCGATATTTCTTCATTCAATTTAAACACATATTGTTGTCTACGTTTTCTTTTTTCAAAGATGACGGCTTTCGTTTTCTGTACATTAATAGCCAACTTCCAACTTCTACAATAGTTTTGAAACACATTCAGGGCATGCCAAAATGTGTCGAACGCTTTTCGAAAATCAACAAATGTACAGTACAGCCTTTTCCCTTGGGCAACATATGTGTTTATTAATGAGTGTAATATAAAAATATTTTCAGTCGTCGAGTAACCTTTTCTAAACCCTGCCTGAGAGGTAGAAATTAGGTTAATTTCATCAGCTAATTAAGTTTCTCCTTTGTTTTTATGAATAGGCTTAATTATTCCAACTGTCCAAGAGTCTGGGTCTAATAACATTATATATAACGGCATAAAGTTAGTTAATGTACTCTTGATATGCTCATTTAAAATGTCATCATTTCCACATGCTTTGTTATGTTCTATATCATTTACCGCATGTATAACCCCTGCAATATCCTCGTCTAGTATTTGGTAAAAAGAATTCTTTTCATGTTCGGGAATATATATGTTATCATCATCCCGGTCATCAGTTGAATTGTTCAAATCAGCATTTTCATGGTTTCTGTTAGTTGGAATGAGAAGGAAAGCACTCTTTCATGCCCCGGGGTGTAAAATAGGGAAATTCCACCCGAGAGGTTTTAAAATTTGGTACAACCCGAGGCTTTTGAGAGAGTCTTATAATCCAGCATACAAGATCAACTCCAAGGTCATCATAAGATTTATCAACACACGATTCTCTCTTAACAACTTATAGGAACTACGTTCACGATTATATCTCAATTTTGTCAACAACAATGTTGTTATACAGAATAAGATGTTGTATTTGTATAACTGTGACCTCTTGTACCACACAAAAGTGTGGCTGTGTGAAATATAAACTTGTAAACTTGTAAAACTTGTTGTAACCATGATCGTGTGGTTGTTCTTTTTTTTCTTTTTCTTTTTTCTTTTTCTTTTTTCTTTTTTTTTTCCCTTTTTTTCTTTTTTTTTTTTTTTGCTGAATAAGCGTTGATGTTACTTTATGGGGTTTTGCTACACTTTGGGTTGCAACAAAGGTTCAAAGAAATTTCTGAGTGTTTCATCAAATTATACTGTATTCATTTCTATGCATTACGACAACTAATGACCGTCGATTGTATAAAAACACATAAAAAAACACGGAACATAATGTTTTTTAATGGAGGTACTGTTACGTTAATTTTAACAGTGCATAAAAAATAAATATTCAGTAATCTTATACGAATATTGTTCTTGTTACAATGATACAATGTTTGAATTAACATAACAGCAGCTCCGCCCAGTCGTAGTGTGATGTCATTTAACAACAATACAAATGGCGCAGATGTGGTCTAGGAGTGTTACGGAGGGGTTACGCGACACCGTGCGATACAAGCGTACCTGGGACATAGAATCCATGTAAATGACGACACAGAGAGGTGTTCAAGTATCAGATTAGCAAATTAAATGTCACAGGTTGTTGTCATAAATGAATGCGTCACTAAATAAAATTAAAGTTTTGAAACAGTTTAATAAGGAAATCTGTACGATGTCGTTAAGTCTGTTACACCGGCACGTGCTCGTCTCGCGCTGGCAATCAGTGTATGGGATCAACACATCATTCAACACATCATTCGGCTGCAGTATCGTTTGCATAATAAAAAGCAATATTTTGATGGTAATGGTACATGCAATAACTTGACAATTAATTTACTAGAAATTTAGAATGTAACATCCTGATCGCTTATTGGTCTGACAGAGGCTTCAGATCAGCGATAGCATTGATTCGCTATACCGATTTCCCCCCGACATCAGATAAGGGGAAAATGAAATCCTTATTTCAACTTTACCTACTTTACATTGGCCACTTTCAAACAAGCGCTTTCCAAGTCTGAAACTTCGTCTTTATAACCCGTGTAAACTCATAAATTATCTTGCAAAACTACAAAGAATTTGACCAGCTACCCACCCTTATTTTTGACGTCCAAAAGCAAAAACACAAAAAAACACCTTTATGTTCTTCGTTATTTTAATTAATTATTTAATGTCTTGCATAAACTATTGTCCTTATCGAATGTAATTTCTTGTCTGTTGTTGAAAGTATTTGTAAGTCTTTTGATACCACACAAATGTTTAAACATTTTATTGTACAAATATACAAATGGATTGCACAACAAGTTATTACAACTTAAATAGAGTCTTCTCCTCAATACATATGGTAAAAACAGTGTATATGCTTTGGGGAAAGGGAAAAAGATAGGGTGGAGAAGGAAAGGTGGGGTGGGAGGGGTGTTACCTAGAAAAGTAAACGTGTAAACAGTGAAATCGATCCGCATTGGAATAAATTATAAATTATACAAATTTCATGACATGCATCCTGGTAGAGTAATTTCAAAATGAATAGAATCAATGTTACAAAGAACTCAGGCAAAATAATGAAATGCACACAAAAATGTGACATCATACTGAGCAACAACTACAAACTATCAGATCGAATTGTTCGTCTTCAGCACACAGGAAGCGGCTTTATGATAAAGGTAAAAGACTTGATTAACTGTCGTAGTTTGTTCTGCTCTCCGATAAATTCGGCTTCGAAAATAGATAAAATGAGACTGGATTTAGCCGTCTTAGTACCAATTCTACTAAACCGCCGTTTACCAATCGGCAAATCCTCGGGTGACTCCGCTAAGCGATAATCCACCCGAGGAGTTCCGAGTGGATAAATACTGGCATTACGAGGACTACGAAGCGGAGAGAGATGGCACTAAATGAACTAGTCGTTAAGAGTCGTTTCCCGAAATATGTGCTTCATGAAAGATTCGGTGTGCTAATATCATCTTATGGCTATTAAAGTACATTGATACATTCATCCGGTGTTCTTAGAGGTACTCGATTGTATCAAATAAAATTTGTTTAAAATAACCAGAATATACTCACCCAGAATATTGTGTAGATGTGGATTCGTCGTCTTTGATGGGTGAACTTTGATCTGTGACGCCTGGGACGACAGATTGACAGGCCGGAGGAGAGATTGGGTTGGGTCAAAACTCTTCATCAGAGGGAACATCGGAAACGCCAACTGGGGAAACATGTTCATCTGGAAATGAAAAGAGCGTGAACTTATAACGAATGGCATGTGCTTCGATTGAACCATCATTCTTAAAGGTGTCGACATTGCATGGATATAAAAAGTAGGGTCGAAGTGGTTTTGTTATGGCAGGGAGTCTGTCGTCCATCGAGAACCAATGTACCTAGCGTCATGGCAGTAGCCTACTGGGATACAGAGCTATAAAGTATGTTCAAATGAGTGTCCTTGATCCAATCGTAAGGTCACCGGGTCAAATGTGTCCAAACCTTTCAACGACTTCTTCAGAATAGCCTAGCAGCCTAGGGTTATGGTTTGTGGCCAGTGAGTTGGAGTAGACGCTTAGACCTGAAGCTTGGTGAGATAATGGCTATCAGGTCTGCTAAAACATATGACCTCAATCTCTCAGGTAAATATTCAAACGCTATAGAGAAGATTCTAATAGCATCTCCCGATAAAGATGACATTTAGCCTAGTTAGATAATTGCCTTGACCCACTCTGAAAGTCAAAAATGCGAGATGGAATTCCGAAATTACTTTTCATGTGAGCGATACAGGCCCATTTGACCACTTGTTTCAGCTTTATACTTAGTGACAGCTTCTGAGGATATAACATTCCTTCTCAACCTTATTAATTGCTAGAGACGTCCACCGTTTTTTCTATTTTGTTTCCAAACTACATAACACGTTTTGTAATATGATAGATCAAAGCGCCAACCCGTACATATGTAACATATCAAATGTGGTTAGCCTCATGACCCGTATGTAGTACTCATCAATCATCGCGGCACACCTGGAGTACGCATGCGCAACCCACATCGCATCTACAAGTTTTTACTTGGTGTATTTATTGATTGTCGTGTTCCATGCCTGACTAGTTGTTTTCATACCTGATGGATTGAACTACATGGCTATAATGAAACAACTTAACTAAACCCTCATTATTAACGAGTTTCAGTTGTATTACACAGTTATGATAATGATTAATGCATTAAATTGCACCACTGCCTGACTGCGGGCGATCACATTATACAAATGAACACAATAGTCTTTATGACTTTATCATATGTACAGGTATGTATGTATGATAGAAATATGTATCCGAGGATGGAACATTTCTGTCATATATTCATATATGTTTGCATGATAGAGTTGTTTCATCGAGGTGTATAGCCGCCATCTTAATTTTGGCAAAATATCTTCATTTTATACGAAGTGAAAAGAGCATCACAATTTAGTTTATACTAAATTCATAAACTTCAGATTATAAATAGCATGGCAATAATTATAAATAAAATAGGTGATCCCGGAAATAAATTCAGCAAAAAGATGGATATGACGTAAAGTTGCCGCGGCATGACGTTATCTAATTATCTTTGTATTGTGACGGCATGTGTCCATGTAAGTCTAGTAGAGTATACGACTTCTGTGTAATGTTGACAAATGATATCTTCCCGTACGTTGAGGGCGTGACTGGGAAATAGCCAGCCCTCTATTTTGAATGTAACCCGAGGCTCTGCCGAGGGATAGACAACCAAATATCACACCGAGGGTTGGGGATTTCTGTTTCACCCTAATCTCTATCTTACATGTAAGCGTAGCCAATTCACTACTAGTCATGGTATTTTTATGTCACTTTTTTCTGCTACATTACTGAGAATAGTTTCAAAATACGCAGAAAGCATGCAATCTGTAATTTTCATTGTCTGGATTTAGATAAGTAATTAACGTAAATTTAACTTCCCACGGTCTGGGTACAGAAGAAAAGTGACAGGACTCTACCTTGATTGACAGAAATGTAAAATGTAATATTGATATGAACTCGCTTAACTCGAACACTATTCTCAACTAGAAGATTTTTTTTGATTGTGACGAAATCTTTCCCTTTTCTATCTATTTATCTCGAACATTCTGTTTACTCAAAATTCCGTTATTACAATGAGATTTATACTTTAAGTATTTACTAGCCCTGTAGAGTTCCACTTAAACTGGTTTACTTTTAGATGTTGTGAAAAGTATACGTTGGATATGATAAGAAAAAAGAAACAGTGCCTATTATATGTATGTTTTCTGGTTAAAGTCAGTGATTTGAATAAAAGAAAGTCTTTTGTAAACCGTTTATTTCTTCGCAAACAGTGGTTGAAAAGTTATGGCGACGTTCAGTAAACATAGAAGTTGTGTTTTAAATAAAATAGGTATCACGTTACCTACTGTACATAAGTACTCGGAAAGTCATCCGATGTTTATTTACACCTGTCTCGTGGACTCAATGAATATGCAACAGAATTACACAGCCATACCTTATCTCATAAACATACAAATATGTGATAATTAATTTGATTTATTATTGAGAAAGTCACATGCTGCAAAATGAAATATTTCCACACGGTTGCTAATATAATTTTGCATCGACTTAAGCCTTGTCGTTTGAAACATTACGATGCGACAAAAATGACAAATTTTGTTTTCCGGTCATTTTGGATACCAAATGTGAATGACACTTTCAATATTTGAAACATTATATATTTTTAAACGGAACATTGGAATCGTTTGACTGTATGTCAGCGAATATTTCAATAATTAAGTTAAAACTGTTAACACTGAACTCTGAGAATAGATAAAAATGTCTTATATATGATATAGTATTACATTTTATGATATATCTTCAATGATACCAAGATATAAGTCGTTTCTACTTTACAGGTTCTTATGTAAAGTGAAAATAAAGTTAAATTATCGTTTTTGTAGACTGAATATTTGATCTTTGTCTGCTAGTGTTTAGTTTAAACATATTTTATTGACATATAATATGACAATAGGATTAGTCAGTAAGTTTTTCCAACTTATAGATGACTTCTCCAAACAACATACGTAACATATTTACAACTTAGGTCACGTGATGGCATGCAAGATCATATACATTAAGAAACATATCACAGTGAAATCTGCTAGTGAATGGAATAGAACAGTTTTCATTTGATTTTCTTTGGTGTATCAATTTTAAATGTTTCTATTTTTACTTGTCCACAAGCCCACTCGACTAATACATTTCAAATGAATTGAAATACTATCTATTTATATTAAATAGTTTTCCGTGTGCAGTTGGATCTGAAGTGCGAATCTGCTAAAACTTTATGACAGACAATTCCAATATAAATTGTACGAAGCGTTTTACCAAAATATTTGATTATCCTAATTAAACAAAAAAACTTTAGTTGTCTTAACAATCCTTTATTCCGTGTCGGTATTTGTTCCTGTTACTTGCATTGTTCGTATTAAATGCTCTTTTTGGACACTGGTGTTCAGCCAGTCCCCGATCATGATACTCTGAGATGTAGATATTTTATTCCAAACAAATATCAATATCATACTTGCTGTACAATAATTCATAAAATCAGCACAAAAGTTTGATGCCAATAAGAAGAAAGATATTGCAACCAAACATTTCCTTCCTATTTCTGTATCCACTTTCTCTTTGTCGTTTTTTCACATAAGTTATAATGAAAATATGTTTCAACTTTTTATCATCACGTGCTATCTATAGTTGCTGTTCACAGGGACCTGATAATTTGTTATAGCTATATTTGGACCTAAACTGTGGTGATCAGAGTTATTATGTCTAAACGTGTAAAAATACCAAAAATTAATCTTAATGTTTAAAATTACTCTGAACACCTCAGTTTAGGTCCAAATATAGCTGCAACAAATTATCATGTTCCTGTGGTAAGAACATGTACCCAGTCCCGTTTTTTTGTTTTGTTTTTAACAGCCAATTCCATGAATAATGTATATACACATTTCAAGAACAATAATTACAAATCTATGAAATTAACGAAAACACAGCAATTTATCTGATCAAATTTCAGTTTCTAAGTCTGGTATCATAGATGAAATATACGGCTGATTTTCATATCTTAATTATCTCATTGCCTTGGTGACGTAGGATACCACAAGCAAACCGTCAAATATAACAAAGTCGCCGTTAAAAGTCGATATATTCTCCATTTACAACTTATATATATACATGGTTAAATAAATGTTTGATCGTTAATAGTAGTAAATTCAGGATAATGAAATTATTATTTTTTACTGACTTTTATTTATATGAACTAGATATCTGGATTGAAATTTTTTTGAACTTTTGAATTTCTAAATTTCTAAATGAATCTTCATTAGACGACTAGACAAGTAAAGTAAAACTATTTAAAAATTGTAAGGAATTCGCATTTTATTTGTTAATTTTTTTCGAAGAAATTGAATCAATTTTTGTTACAAAATTATTTTAAAATTATTTCATAACAGATTATAAATATGAAATTCATATACGTAATGACTCACCTTTCTTGTTTTTGTTTTCTGTCGAATTGTCTTGTTTGTTTTTCCGTCTTGTTTGTTTTCCCGTCTTGTTTGTTTTTCCGTCCGTCCGATTTCCGTAGTTGTACAACAATACCTCACACTGTGAGAGTTTCACTCTTTTAACATCGTGAATTGGATTCGTTGGGCTGGCGACAGATTTCACTGTTCTCCAGAGATACGCAAATTGTGTATGCATGCGTACTAAGCACGAGGGAATCTGTTATCTCACATAATATGTTCATTTATGTATCGGGGATCAACTTTTACAAGCTTGGTAAGGATGCTGGGTCTTGCCTGCTACTTGCAACACAGCTTCTGCATAACTTATGTCTGTCCCATATTATATCTTAAAACAATGTACTTAATCCTGAGATGACACCAAAGAAGGCAGCACTTTAGGTGGGGTTTTTAATGTATATTTATTAATTATTTTAATATGTTGAGTTTTATTTGTCAACTAATCAAGATGACAATGCTTAGCATACCTGCGCTAGCTCTCTGATGCTGGTCGTAGAAACACCTGTTACCTCAACTAGTCAATTAAATTTATCCTTATTCTAATGTACACCGATCCGATCAAATATAGCTTGATTATAAATGCACGTCTCTTCAAAACCGAAACCGGATTCGGTCGGGCATGACCACGAGGAAAGCTACATCGCTGCTCGTTGAAATCAACAATAGGCCTACATTTCGCTCCAAGCATCTAATCGCCTATCACCTTCATCAGCGCTTGGTCATATTATTATTATTGTTAATATGTAGTGTTCGTTTGGCGGCTTAGGACTTCATACCTTTATCAGATTTTAATTATAAACAGTTGCTATGTGCACCTAGTCTAAAGTTAGCGGTTAAAAGCCGGATATCCGTCGGTAAGGATAGTTTATACGAAATCAAAACGTTTCCGTTTAATTTATTGCTTATATTTAAACTACATTTGCGAATTTATGGTATGAACATACGATAAACGATGCATTCGAGACGAGTAATTATTAAAACTATAATAAAATAAGAAACTAATCAGCAGGTAAAAGGGACTATTGCCGTATATTTAATACCCAGTGTTAAATAGACTCAAATTAAAGGGATATACTCTTGTTGTATATGAACAAATAGGGGGCCGCGGTGGCCAATCTGCTACCACTGTCCTTCCACCCCTTGGTCGCGGGTTAGAGACCTACGTGGGGCAGTCGCCAGGTACTGGCCGTAGGTCGGTGGTTTTTCTCCGAAAACTCCGGCTTTCCTCGTCCACCACAATCTGGCATGTCCTTAAAATGACCATAGCTTTTTAATCAAACAAAAGTGTATACAACGCCATGCTTGTTTACCTCGAACACTGCCGAATTGATCATATATGGTCATCTGTTCCGTGACAGTTCTGGATTCCGAAATACCTAAAAGTAAACAAAGACAGGAGTGTCGGTTTTAACGCATTGTTTTCCTACCTTATGCACATCTAGTTACAGGGTAAAACTTTGATTTTAAAGTCAATCAGGCTCACTGAAAATCAATAATCGCGCTGAACTTGCGTATTTTAAGGCGAGTGGTTCACGGTATTTGCTGGCGACGAAATTGATTATTAACGGATATCGACACTCTGTCGGAGCGGCACATGTTTATAACCATTAATCACTTTTTTAAAGTTTAATCTTGTATGTGATCAAATATTACAATGGTGAATATGTTTGTCTCGTTTTTTTTTAATTATTAATCTTAATAATAAAACATAATAATCAAACTTTGTACAGACTTTTTTAATTCATTAACACAAGCCCCAAATTTGTGGGAAAATGATAACTTTTACATCACTTATAAACAGCGTATAGTACTACTAGTGCATTAAGTATGCTGACTTTCAGAATGAGTATGTTTAGAGGTGTGTTTTTTTATATATAATTTTTAGTTATATTTTTTCTCAATATTCAAAGCAGTATTGAGGACATAAGTTTATACTTTATTTCATTATCGGTATAATAATCCAGAAATACCAACATGATATACATATAGGATTGGAAAACAACTACTTATGTTAATCCGTCTCCTTATATTGTGAAACGGCGATTGGACGGCTCTGACTCATTTATACATATTTATACATATAAATATAGATAAGATATAGTAAATATACATTTATAGATAAGATATGTTGTATATTATTATATGGAAGAGAAGTGGATGGGGAGGGAAAGAGGTTCAAAAGGGTTTAAGGTTGTTGGGGTAAGGTACATAGCATCATCGATATCCAGGGGTTACGCATCCTCGATATCCAGGGGTTACGCTCACTTTTGCTCTCTGCACCCCTGGGATATGTCATAGCAAAATTGAAGGCACGAAGATAGCTGTTTGATTGGTCTCAGGTAAAAACACTGAACAATCGCTAGGCTGATACCTGTTCTTTGAAGATTACAATGGAGATATTTACCGTTATGTGACCGAGAGATTCTTTTGGTGTACATTGAATCAACACGGTGGCGCACACCGAGCCTTCAATTTTGCTATGACATATTCCAGGGGTGCAGAGAGCGAAAGTGAGCGTAACCCCTGGATGTAATGGTTATATCATAGACTCGAGCGAATATGTCAACGAGAGGGCGGGGTTCAACCCTTCGCGTACGAGGGTTGAGCCACGCCCCTCGAGTGTGATGACTGACATATCCGGGGTAGTCTATGGTATAACTGTTTTGTCGCATATAGTGTCACGTTATTTGAAGTGTGTGAAACCCTAATCTATTCAATCAGTTCGAGCTTAAAGGTCAAAATGTCAGATTACGTAAAAAAATCTTCGCCAGATCTGTCCGAAGTAGAACCATTCATCACAACTGATGGAACGTTACGAAGACGATGTGGACCTAGTTGACGCACTAGAAAGGCCTTATACAAGATGATTTGGGGACATTTGATATCTTCATTCTGCCATTACGGATGATGATGACACGGATAACAAAGAAAATGTTGGCCTTAGCACGGACTTAGATAATCTAATTCCGTGGCCTTAGTAAGAGATTAACGGATATTTCTGACGTACAACGGCAGGGCCAGGTTTTCCACAACTGCCAGGTATCTTTCAATTTGGAATGTTTGAATTTTTATTGACTTTGCAGTTCAATGTATACAATCAACGACAGTAACGGTCAATTCTACTACTTCATTAACATTTATGAAATGTACATACTGTAAGCATTTGCAACTGTTTTGATTTTTTTATTGATTAAATTTTTAAACATTGTTGGAGTTTTGATTATTTATTTCCGGCCTCTCAAATGTTCACACGGTTTTGGAGTACCTCAAACTGACAGCCTTATTTAACGCTAATAGGCAATCGTCGATTTCATTGGATTAGGTGTATCGACCAATGAGGTACTCCAAATCTGAGGAATAACTAAGGGGGTGGAGCCCCAATTATACCATATGGTATGACTGTCTGCTGGATAACCGAAATACACGGTAGTGAAGCGGACGTAAAACCTATCAATCAATAAATCAATCATATACCATGACTAGATCAAAGGGGAAATGACACGTATATGCGACAAATCGAGAATGGACCTCCTTAACTCAACCTCATTCTTCAGACTCCTCAACTGAACCCTCATTTCCTCCTTCGACTCCCGAGCTGGATTTCCTTATTATTATCTGTTCCTTAGCAAAATCTTGCGACATTAAAATGGTGATACATTACAACTGTTGACTGCTGAATTCATGCTAAATTTGACCTCTGTACAACTAGGTTATTTGACCATGCGGTCAGCATCAGCAGGAGGCCCAAACACTGACGTCACAGACTGGACCCCNCCCCCGCCCCCCTTATATCATAACCTCAATTATCTACTGCTACTTAGCTACTGTCTTCAAGTTTAACTCTGACACTGCCCACGAGCCAAGGCTAATAAAATGTATAGCAAAGTATATGTACAGTTTGAACGATTACACGGTTAATAAATGTATAACAAAATCATATACTGTACAAAAACGACTTAATTGGAATACACGATACAGGATACAAGAAACTTTATTTAACGTCGCATATATCAAACAGAGAAACATTAGCGCTGTAGCGCTATTTTTGCGACAAACATGATAAAAAAAACCAACAGAAAACAACAAACAAACTATACACTAACACAGAAAGCTAGCACATAATCAGCGAGTAAAACATACAATAACATAGCAGCATATAAATAGATATCACAGGCACTAAATTTAAAGTAATATACTAAAAAATTATGTAAAGTGATAATAGTGAAACACCTGCATATCACACAGGTGTTGCTATATAATAGGAGGGTTAAAACACTTCAAGTGTAATGTACATACATGCTAATATAGCAAAAGAGTAAAAATTGACATAATGTACACTAATATAGTGTAAATTAAAATAGGACGACAAGGTATAGCAAGTAAAAGATATTGAGCTATATAATGATGATTAGAAGAGAAGGCTAGAAACTATGCTGCCAGTTATTGGTATATAAAAGCGCCATGCAAAGCAGAAGTTAAGCTAAATAGGTAGGTAAATAAATAATAGATAAATAATGCAGGTATCTAGTAATCAAGATTAAAGCACTGAAAAAACCTTAAAATATAGACACAAGTTCAGATACGACATGAGCAAACGGGGCCATCCTAGGAGTGCAGCAGTCTGGCAAACTCTGGTAACTTTCCACCTTCCTCAAATGGTTTGGCAGACTGTTCCACACTCGGGCGTCCTCGTAGCGAAAAGTCTTCAGTCCATACCTGGTTGTTCTTACTCTTGGTAGCTCCAGCTGTCTTTCATCCCTGAGGTTATAAAAAGACGATTTCATGGTTAAAAGATTACATAAATAATCCGGAGCTACATTGGTAATAATTTTAAGAACTTCACAAGCCATGGTTTTCATTCTGTTTACATGAAGAAAAGATACATTTGCTTTTTCTAAAAGTTCTAAGACTGGCGTTGTGTAGTAATCCTCAATAAAACGAATGGCTCTTTCTTGTATCTTCTCCATCTTCCTTGTGCAAATTAAACTGCAGAAATGCCA